TTAGACTTTCTTACTTGTTTATTGTTGATTTCGGCTGAATAACCCTTCGCTAAAAACATTTATTCCTTAAATTTTTTTAGAAGCGAAGAATCTTCTACAAATGGGCTTAGAAATGTGAGGGTCAGAGCTAAAAAATAGAGCGTTCTTCAAATCTAAAATAGGGTGTTCCCGGAAAATTTCCTGAGATAGGGCGTTTTCAAACTGGCTGCCGAGATAGGTAGATCTTTCACTCAAGCATCGCTATCTCGTACAAAAACATTATGTAAAATTAATAAAAATATCCTTATTGTATCATAAGGTTATCTCTTTCGAATTAGCCTGGTTTTGAATATGGACAANCTAATAAAAATATCCTTATTATATCATAAGGTTATCTCTTTCGAATTAGCCTGGTTTTGAATATGGACAATAATTTTGGAAACTAAATACTAAAAAAATTACACCTTGCAAATTATTAAGGGAATTTCGAAGGCTTAAATTTCTAAGTACATTTATTTTATTTCTTTCTTTGTAAATAAAAATCAACATCCTTGTTAGTTTTCCTTTTAGCACTGTTTCAAAATTTCTGTTAAACTATTTTTAACCACATATTTAATAGTCTGTAAAAAATGAAACGCATGTCCGAGCATATCAAAATATATTTGCAAAGCACTACTAAAAACATAACACTTCGTTGATTCCCCATTTTGAGAAGAATAACAACAAAGCACTGCAGGCAGTAAAGAAAGCGCAGTTACACCTTTACTTATGTACGAAAGTGTTTAAGTGTTAAATAAGATACACCAAGCAAAGAAATCTACTTCCGATAATTAATTAAATAAATCGAGTAACTAAACTATTGCTGAAATTTAATAAATGCAACAAACCCACTGGGAAAATACAACAACAACATATGCTATTAAATAATAATAAAAATTAAAGTAAAACTAACTAAACGACCATATAAATAAATAAAAATAAAAAAATAAAACCATTATGGCGAACACTGCACAACTTTTGCGACGACAAAGCTCGCGCGACATCGTGCTGAAGAGTCAGAAGAGCATTGACCATATGGAATTACGGGTAGGTAGCTTAAGCGTAGAAAAAGGATGAAATATTTCAAATAATTCAAATCAATAAACATTAACTTTTTTTTTTAAACAAATACATACACAATTATGTAGCATCATGAAAAAAAAGCGCCATCATTTTAAAATAAACTTCTTCATTTCATTTGTGCCAAAAAACATTAATGTAACTACCTTTCATCTGGTTTTTTGTTTTGCAAATTCTTTTTCTTTAAAGGAAATGCGTGGTCGTCTTGTACCCAAAGAACACCATGGCAGTGGGACACATCATCATCACCCCCACCATCATCAGCCACCTATGTATGGTGCAACCAATCAAGCATTTCTGGGTGATGCTTTTGATGAATCGACCGAATTGGAACCGGACGGTTTCGGTGCAGAGGCGAGTACCAGTAAATCAAAAGCTGAATTGGCAGCGGCAGTTTCGGCCACAGTTGAAGCAGCTGAAGAGGACATTGTCGAGGGTGGAAAGGAGGGTGATGAGCGCGAAAGTTGGGACAATAAAATCATGTTTCTGC